GCAATGGGAAAACTTGGCCACTTGTATATGATTGTGCAACTCTTAGATCATAGAAAAGTACAAGATCTGTGAAATAGAGAAATAAAAGAATTAAACGGAGGCTATCTACACCAAAACATTTATTTATTTATATCAAATGGCAGGCGTTTTGATGGTTAACATTAGCCCTTTAGTTGACTTCAGGCTTCACAGAGGGGAAGAACATCAAAGTGAAAAAAAGTCGAGAGGAAGGGAACCGAAGAGTGTTTCAAAAACGAAGGTTGAAAATTTAGAAAAAAATGTGATGTAGTACTGTGGAAGTGGTCGAAAATGTCATACAGTGGGGTTATGATAGTTTGAAGTCAACTGCCGGTTAATAGACTTTTCTACCGTATGAGTATACGTTGCCCAGAGTGCACCGCGTGGAGGTCGCACCAAAACATCTGATAATGGCATATACTAATACACCACTATGAATTGCTAAGACTCTCTACATTATTGATTTAATGTTGTGACAGTGAAGAATCTGACCAATTAAAATGCGGAATACGAGATTGTTTTCGATTACCGTATGCGTTGTAGTGAATTGAATTGAAATATAATTTAAGCACACTGGACTCATATTGCTTTAGGAAGGAGTCATCTCAGTTAACGAATCGTACTTTTACAAACGAATTTGTTCTGGAATTCATCTATAGTTCTTATGGTTAATCTAATCCTCGCGCATTGATTTATGAATAAACATTTTGCATAATTATCGTAACTGAATGTACTCATAACTACACCTATTATCTATTAGAATGTGAGCAGCCAAGCGAGATAAAAATTGGATCCTGCGATCCACTGACCTGTAAACGTCCGGTCTATGAGATCAACCACTCTCGAGACAAGGAAACATGTGAATGTCAACCTGAGCAAAAACTAATTGGATCTGAAGACTGCTGTAAGAATTTGTCCGCAAATTCAATGCAATGTTTTATCGATTGATTTGTGCATGTTACTTAATTAAGATCCCTATTAACATTTAATTCACTTGCATGAACCTTTTGTGAACATGTTAAGTGCAGTAGGTAACAATGCTTTCTAAAAAGGTGTTTTATTTCCTTTAGGCTGTCTTCCTTCTTCTCAACCAACCAAGACATGCGTTGGCAATTGTTTTGTAACTATTCAAACTCATGCCAAGTTTGATAAAATTCAGAAGAGCTGCATCCGTACTGAAAGCGTAACTCGTCAGTGTCCAAGTAAGCTAGAATTGTGGATTTGGCATTTTTAGATCTCTTATTGCCTTGGTGAAATCTCTTAAGTTTGGACTTCAAATACCAATGGAGTTGCCATTCAGTTCGATTCTATTTTAACAGTTCCTATCAGAACATGCTGATTTGTGTTCCTTCTGACCATCTTATTTCGCATAACCGGAAAGCTTAGTAATTTCATAGTTAATGTGATTTTAGTACGATTGATGCCCGTTAATTGGTCATGCGTATGGACCAAATGTTTTCCAATGGTCGCCTTCAGTGACCGATTGGGTTTAAGCGATGTATACAGACCTATGGCTATTAGTAAGGACACTAGATTTATTATGCATAACGAAAGTAACTAGGCGAAAGAACTCCAGCGAAGTTACTCTTTATTTACATATAATTAAGTTATTTAAAGAGTTGAGAATCGAACTAATGTCGTAAAAAAGGTTGAGAACAGACAGACTAATCCCCATAGTGATACATTCAATCCTATTAATGGGTCTTGGTGGCATTTTGAATAGCTATCATCGCGATAGTTTAGAAAACCCGTATTATTATGGGAAGCATGATTTATCTACATATTTATTGAGAAATATCAAATGGTTAAAGTTGAGCACTAAAAGGCAAGGGTAATGCTAATGATCATAGCTTCGGATGCTGTTTCACTATCTGTGCCCTTGTTTCTTGCTTGTTGACCTGCATGAACTAGTGCCGTGCTAACTAAGTTGTTAGCTTGGCAACATGCCTGGTGGTTTACAATAGTTGATAATTTGCTAGATCTTGTTTCATACCGCCCTAACAACTGCATATCCAAATCATATCACTGAATATATTTCACTAGCTTTAAACATCCCTTTTTTACCGAAGTGGACTAACGAACAATTTTCCACTGTCAAAAACGCAGCTTGCCCACTGCCAATAGAGGAGACGGAGCCATGTGGTAGTGCTGGTGACTGTCTTCAAAGAGTTCGAAGAACTTACTTTGAAGTTGAGAACTGTCGCTGTAAACGACGACAGTCTATGGAAACTCGCAACTGCTGCTGTCCAAAACAGACTGAAGGAAGTCATGAGGAGACACCGTCTTGTCTTCCAGAGGATAATGTGCTTTTGCACCGAAGAACCGTCTACGAGTGAGTAAAATTCATTTAGTCATTGAAAGTGTACTATCTCCATGTCAATGAGATGTGATTCGGCGGTCTTGATGTATCTATTTGATTACAATGGTTTAATCCTTTTTACAGGATGATAAATGGCAAGTGTGCTAATCGGACAGAAATTTACCGAGAACCAGTTCAGTGCCCACCTACAGGGGAAAATAATTCACAATCGCTTATTGAACAAGGGGACTGCGATAAGACAACCTGCCTGAAGAAGATCAGGGAAAGTAAATGGGTTCTCAACAACTGTCGGTGCCAACAAGTCTTTAATGAGCGTTCTGAATCCTGTTGTTGTGATCAATTTCCTCCGAAAGTCAAAGAGATGTGTAGATCGGATGGAACTGTTCTGAGGGTTTGTCAATTCTTTATTTCACAACTGATTTAAACATATTGCTGTAGGAGACTAGATATTGGAAAAACATAAATGGAAAGTGCAAACCAGAGGTTCAAGTTGAAACCATACCAAAGATTGAATGCCCACCAAGCCAAATGCGTCCGGTAGGCCCGTGTGATGTTAATACTGGACGTCAATCTGTTGAAATTGTTAAATATGAATTCAAAAACTGCAAATGCCAACCAATTGGTCGAACAGTTAAGGACCGTCAATGCCGTAAGATGAAAAGCTACGTCAACTTCATCTTCATTGTCCTCGAATCTAAAACAATAGCTTTCTTTGTCTAGGCTGTAGAGAAGACGAAATTGAGCAAGGTTTGTGTGACCCTAGAACGTGTCTTCAAAATGTCTCCATTACTTCGTACGAGAGAGAAGGAGGAATTTGTAAGGCACAGCCAGTGTTGCTAAAACGTCAGTTATGCTGTTGTACGAAGGATAAGTCTGAACCAAGTATCACCCGTGAATGTAATAAGGAGACTGGGTCTGTTCAGGAAACTACAACTAGATACGTCTATAATTCTGAAAATCATCAATGTCAGCCACTCAAGACAATTAAAATATTACCACCCGAAGGTTAGACAGAGTTACTTCTTTCCATTAAGAATGTTTGAGCTATTTATTTATGAGGTAGTTATTTTAGAATGTGAAATTGAACCTTCAATTAAACGTGGCGAATGCAATGAAGCCTCTGGTGTCGCCATAGATATATTAACCAAGACCTTCTTTGATAAGGAATCTTGTTCTTGTAAGAAGACCGACAATCCAGTCCAGCGAATGTGTGGTAAGGAAATTAGAAACTACTTAAATATGAATAGAGTGGTTGAAATACTTATCCTGGTTTACACTTTGTAGATTGCAAACATATGCCATTAATGGCCCCGGTAACCTATTGTGAAGAACAAAGTGGAGTATTAGTGACAGCTAGTACTTCATTTGTTCTGAAGAACAGCACTTGTGTTAATACAACTGCGAAGCACCAAGAAAGAATCGGTAAGGCTTTATCGTTCATACCAAGTAATCAAGGTAAAAGGGGCGTCGTGAAAATACAGTTGAGTAAATTAATATTATTTTTTTATTTAAAATTAGTAAATGGAGAATATTTCGTATAACGACATACTTCAATATTTCACACCAAGTTTTGAAAGCATTCACCATGAGCTACGATATTCAGCTCAGTGTGTCTCAACACGCCCCTTTTACCTTGTCCAGTATCGAGGTCCCTAGACAAGATTAGAAGTAACTTAACTCATTTTCCATTTCAGTTTGCCCTCCAGCTAAAAAATCTCGTGGACCATGTAGCTCTGAGACTTGTCAAGCCACTGTGAAAATAACGGAGTTTATTCAAGAGGGTTGCAAATGCGTTGAGAAGCACTCAGTTCGTCAAGAGACGTGTTGTTGCCCTGAGCCCAGTCTCAAAGAGCAATGTCATGAAAACGGCTCTCTATTGATTCAGAGGCATACTGACTACAAATATAACCCTCAAAAGAAGCGTTGCGAATCAGTCACAAGAGTAATTCGACAACCTGTCGGTAAGAATTGAAATCGTCTGTTATGGTCTTTGATTAAGCATTTTTTGGGAGAAGTGAAGGCATTAAATAAAACATCCGATCTTTATGCATCTCTAATGTTTCCATAATGAGAAAATGATCCTCTACTCAGTTTAAAATTTAATTTAAGAGATGTGCGATGCTTTATGTTAATTGAATTTCTATTTTCTGTTCAATATGTGCTTAAATCTTATGTAGCGGATTGCTACAGAAATCTCTATGGCAGATCCTCCTACATCTAGCTAGACTCCCAGAACCAGCTAGGCTATAGCCCAGCTATAAAGGAAACAGACGTGTAGCACGGAGCACGTTTATTCAGGACGTATATTGCGGATCAAGTGTGTACACGCAGGGAGCTACTATGATCAGGATGGGGGATTAGGTTAAACAGAGGTTAATGATTGGTCACTGTTTGTACGGTCGCTGCACACAGAGTTGTACGGCCGCACCTCCCAATTCTGGCGGGCAGACATGCAGGCATACGATGACGAACAACGCGATAACGTGTCCCACATTCACAAAGAGGTTTCACCTGAATCTACTTCTCACGACGGCGTATAAAATCTGTTTAATTCTCAAAGCTATCGTTGCGTGTCCCACTTCTCATTTTCCTCTGCGATTCCATATTGAAGTAAAGATTAAACAATGATATTTTCTTATTAATCCACAATAATTTTTTTATTATTAAACTCAATATCAACCTTAAAACTAGTAGAAAAATGAGCAACTACTTTTGCTTACTTGAGCTTCATGAGATATACTGTGAAATCGAATTTTAAAACCAACATCAAAGTAGAATTATGGAAAGAGCTATAAGAATTGAGAAAATAAAGTGCAGATTAGCCATTTTTCACAGGAAGCATTAAAAGCCTGGTCGTTTAGTCGCCCTCTGGTTGCTGTGTGTCAATTGATAGGAAGCGAGTAAAAAGTGTATTCAGTGGGAGAAATTTAAACTAAAACACTCTAAATTAGGCATAACTGTCCATAATAAATCAACAAGTGCAACTATTGCAGGCAAAGTATAGGCATACTTCGAACGGAATTGCAATAATAAATCACAATTCAAATACAAGCAGAGTTTCATTTGAAGAGGATTGTCAAAACTGTTCACCGACTTAAAAATATATACATACATATTCATCGTACTCTATTCAACATTCATTCTTTGTTTGAATAGAATGTGATCTGAATCGCAGAGTAGAGATTTCCCAACATTGTGATGAGGAGAATTGTCTTCTGAGTAGTGTGGTTGAAATGAATACACTGGCAAACTGCAATTGCATACCAAAGCGCTTGACCATTGTCGACAATCAGAAACGGTGTTGCTGTCCACCACTGAAGGTGGTCTCTTCTTGTGACGCTGACCAGGGCATTATTACTGAAATGACAACGTCCTACGTTCTACAAAATGGTACTTGCATTCCAAAGAAAGTTCAGTCCGAAGAGAAAATACGTAAGTCCCGTTTCTTAGATGACTAATTCAACGATAACGATAACGATGTGAAAATTTGTCGCTTTAAATGTAAATAAAAACTGTTCTCTGTTCGTTTTTGAAGGTTGTCCTGATTCACAAGTGAGTTTTGGACTCTGTGATCACAAGACAAAGAAGCAAGAAGTGACTACAATATCATATGAGCTGAAGGAATGTGAATGCAAGAAAAGTGTCAATAAATCGACGCAGGGCTGTGGTAAGTTTTGAAGAATGCTGAAGATACCTTCATCAAAGCCATAATCGTGCCATATACTGCATTTCAATGCAGGTACTGCGATATTGCTTTAGTATATTTGAACACCAATGTTGCTGATGTTATGCTTGAAGCCACAATTCTGTTGCTGTAATTAGCAATCTAAATTAGTATATTCTGGATCGTCAATTAACCCAGTGGATACTCAGTTTAAACGATCCCTCAAGACCATGGAATATTTTTACGAAATGGCAGGCGCTTTGATAGTTATCATTAGCCCTTTAGTTGACTTTAGGTTTCACAAAGGGAAAGGAACATCTAAGTGAAAAAATTCGAGCGGGGGGAAGAATAGTGTTTTAAATATGTAAAAGAGACAGACACAAAGGTGGAAAAGGTGAGTTGAGTACTGTGAAGTAGTCGAATTTGACATTCAGTGGGGGGATGGTAGTTTGAAGTCAAAAGTCAACTGCCAGTTAATAGACTTTTTGCTGTATGAGTATACGTTACCCAGGGTGCCCCACATGGAGGTAAGTCTATCGCACACCCCACACCAGAGAATATAAACAAGTAGATTAGATATGGTAGTTACTGTCGAAGATGGAGGGGTTGGGGGGGGGGGGTTGCAGAAAGAGGGTTATAAAGCTGCAGAGAAAGAGAAAGTGGCTGATAAATCTTGTTATGGAATTGATTATTGCTCAATTATGTTTAATTTTATTAGGCTGTCCTGCTCCAAAGATTGTTCGTGGATTGTGTGATAATAAGACCGAAACGCGGGTTATTTCCAGGAACTTCTTCGAACCAGTAAATGGTGTCTGTGAAATGAAAACCAAAATTCTTCGAAAAGAACCCTGTGGTAAGTTGATAATATTGCGTATTATAAATGTTACTTGGTTCAATAGAATGTCATTGCGTATTTTTTTCAAAAATAAGTTATAACCTAATATAAGCATAGTTGTTCTTGTCTTTGAGAAAGGTGTTGGTTAAGGTGGTAGGCAATGTTGTGCGTTTATGGCGAACGCAGACGTTATTTTAAATAACTGTGCAGAGCCTGGGTGGTTGTGAGTAGGAAGTAATGTGTGCAATGACTTAAGGTTATAGACGTCTACTGGTAACTGGGATGATTCCCAAAGCCATTTCAGCTCTACTAGATGACAAGCGCAATTTATTCAAAGTCGGAAGACGAGAGAGTAACTAAGAATAGGTGTGTGCCTTCTCCGTTGAATATTAATATATGCTAGACCTAGATCGATGCCAGCCAACGAGTCTAAAAGTAGTAAATAGAGAGATGGGGGGGGGGACTGTGATTGATTATAAAAGAAATCTTCCTTGAATTCCTGATTCAAATCACCAATATACCCATTAGCCACTTGCTGAGTAAACGTTAAGTCTAGTCAGATGTAAAAAGTTTACAGGATAATCCGTCAAGAGTTGGCAAATGATTGACAAAAAGGTAGATTGTGATACAAGTACCTTGCCAGTTAATCAGAACTGGAAGAATGAACAAAACGGCCATCAAAGAGGTTGTGATTCAACTTCCAACAATCAATAATGGAAAATTAGTTCACTATTATGAATATAATCATTCCTTAGTTAATAAATTATCTTCTAAATTCAATACTACTGCTTTCTTCTTTTCAATACTGAGTCTACTTCCATTACTTTATAATACTTCAACTCGAGTCAAAATTTCTTATTTTTTCTCCATTTTATCGTTTATAACTACAAGACATCAAACCTAAATTGTACATTCACATTCTATTTTCAATCAGTGTGCCCACCACCAAAAATCTCAAAGAGATGTGAGGACGGAAATTGGGTGACCGAGAGGCAAACTTTCACATTATCTGAACGCAAGGGAATTACAAACTGTGTCAAGGAGACAGAAACGGAGAAGACGCCTGTTAGGTGTCCCCCTGCTGAAAGGCTTTCAACTGGCAAATGCATTCCCGAGATGCACCAGAGAAAAATAAACTTCCGCAAGTTCGTTTTAAACCCATCAACATGCAAATGCATTCCTCGGGTGGAAAGCAAATTGGACGCTTGTGGTAATAATACTTGAGAAATTTGAATATAACCAATTACAATTTTACATCTACAATGATAATATATTGTTGAAATAAATAGATTGCCATCGGAAGAACCGAATAGAAACTAAATGCAATGGAAGTGAATTGATCACCAATTCCTTTGAATATTTCTCCAAATCTGATGATCAAACCTGTTCTGTAAAAATTACGCAAGAAGTTAAACCCGCAGGTAGATTTTCATTTCATTTATCTGATCCAAAGCGTAGAATGTCCAACTAACCGTGAGGTAGTGGCAACAGAAAACGGGGGTTGTACTATCCGACGAGAAAATGGAATATATCGAACTGAGATTACAAGATGGAATGAGTTGTCGAATTGTGAATGCTTACCAAGAGAAGAGGTTGCTGAAAAATTATGCGAATGTCCCAAGCCGAAAGAAACATCCAACTGTGAAGGCAATTCGATTATAGTGACAGATAAAAGTTACTTCCATCGGCAGGGTGAAAAATGCATTAAAAAACAGGAAACAATGCGAAGAAAAATAAGTAAGAATGCGGTTTCTTTGTTTAATAATGGCTTGATCTTTTTAGATTGCCAAGAAGATACTCGAATTGTCGGCATTTCAACTTGTGAGAAATCACTTAACGAAACTGGGAGGTGCTTTGAAATGATAGAAGTTGAAAAGTCCTTCCCAGAAAATTGTAAATGCCAAAAGAAGACGCTCTCCTTTAAGCGTATTTGCTGTGCTCCGCCGCCTAAGACAACCCGGAAATGTGATGGGAAGAAGCATCAATGGAAAATAAGCACAACAAAATTCGCTGTGGCACCAGGAGAAGTAAGATTATTCTTTTGCCAATATTTCACAATGACCTACATGATTGAACCAGGCTAAAGAAATATCTGGTAGATATATAGGCTTAAAGATATGTATATGTTTCGCTCACAATCGATTTAGCCAACTGCCGAGCTTACCTTCAGTGATCCAGTTTCTCCACTTGTGGTTTTTGTGCGCGATGGACATGCTTCTATTCGACTACCCTGATTGCAGATCTATTTCTAACTTGCTTTATGTTTGCAAGTAGACTCTGCCAACTTTTACCATATTTGGCCGCTTCTATTCAGCAACCTCTTTTTATAAATGAGCTTCTTATGGTCCTCTGATTGTCTGGACAATTTCGACATTGGCGAACTACTTGCATGATAGAAATTTATTTCAAATGGCAGGCGTTTTGATAGTTATCATTAGCCCTTTAGCTGACTTTGGGTTCCAAAGTGACAAAAAAGTGGAGAGGCGGGACAGATAATGAGTTACGGACGCCTAAGAGACAGACAGACAGACAGACACAAAGGCAGGGAAGAGGTAAGTTGAGTACTGTGAAAGTAGTCGAATATGACCGCATACAGTGGGGTGATGGTGGTTTGAGGTCAGAAGTCAACTGCCAGTTAATAGACTTTTT